TCTTACAAAGCAGAGCTTCACGAATGACGAAGAGGTTTAATTACGACGAAAGAGTGTGGCATACTAATGGAGATTGAAGGCAAGACGCACAGGTTACTTTGAGTTCATCAAATTTTAGACGTCCTGTACTAATCGTTATAAAGGGTACAAAATTAGAAGTGCCCAACGTACCAACTTTGTTCACTTTAACTCGACACATGCCTTAAAACAGCGAGTTCATGAACAAAAACGTGACGATTCAAGGAATATAGATTCAACACATGATATACGCTATGTAGGTTAATCTACATAAAACATTACTTACTGAACCGTCTGTCAAAAAGCTGCCAGTACGAGGCAAAAGAGCTAAACGTTTCTACACACACATTAGCTTAACTAGAAAACTAGACTGACTACAATTCTGACTCGTCCGTCGAGATTTTAGTAGCAAAATAGAAGAAACTGCAGAACGTCAAAAAGTATACTAGATTTACGAACATTTCTGCTTAGAGGTACATCAATAAATTCAATTCAAATCAATTACGCTGATTAACCGGTTCAAATTTACAGTACAAAACCCATTTTCCCCCTAAAATACAAGGCAACGAAATGAAATCGTTTCTGCCATTCTCATTAAAAAATATATGTACCATTTCCAACCGCTGCTGGGCAATTTCCAATACAGCTGGCTTATTTCCTTTTCACGGTACGATGAAACAATTCATTGGAATTCTGCTGTGCAAACTTGCCTTGAACAATAGAAACATATAAATCGCTATCAAAAATACTTAATACGACAGAAACTGTACTATGCTTATTTCAGAACCTTGGTTTTCTTGTACATTCTGAATAATCCACTATTTCCAAATTTATCGTCAGTTAATAAACATAGTTAAACACAGTGCATAATTTATTAAAAAATAGAAAGGCAAACTGATTCAGCAAGACATTAGTTATGAAAAGCAACGAATGACCATACCTTAGGTCCCATTGTCACGGCTACAGCGTCGGCCAATATGTCGACGCCGGCCAACATGGCGGCGCGTGCCTCAGCACCAAATTTCAGCTCCTTCGCCGCATAACCTCGCAACGACTGCCGGACGGCTTGCCGGAACACTGCACGAAAAAGCCCACTTGTTCCTGAATACATGGCCTCAACCACCGGGTACAAAGCGTTAAAAGCACAATACTCTTAACGCACCAAAACTCTGTCGTTCACGAATGCCACCGAAGCTTCTAGAATCATTAACCGATGACACGCCGCAGCCATCGTCGGTCATGTGACAGCTATTCGCATGCTGATTAGTCAATCTCAGACCGTTTTCAACGGTGATTGGTCGCAAGAATACGAGCGTTTTGCGCCGCGTGGCAGGCAAGCGCTTCTAGAAGATTCTTTTGACGATTCGGTGTGCCTGAGTACCTCGGTGCTCGCTTGTTAGTATTGATAGTTATCCCGGTTGTGCTCTGGAATGGTCCTGATGTCGGTCCGGCGGTTGGTAAGTGGTCATCGTTAGTTATTTTTGTCACAATTCCTGTGCAGTTAAAATAAAGAAGTTCATCTTTTGTTGCCGATTGTGATATTCATGTTGAATTCCGCATTCCCGGGGTCGGAAACTCACGATTTCGAAGTGTTTCTGTAAGTCGCGTCAGA